TTCCTAATTACTGATTGTTATGTGAAAGCATGAGTGGCTAAATACCATGACTGGGGTTGTGGGATCCATGACGAAATTCTAGTCTCGATTCCATATAACGAGTAAAAGGCAAGCCGTGTTTTCAATCTATAGTTTCTAGCTTTCAACATCATTATAATCTAGTGAGTGCACGCATTAGATGAGCTTGTATCTGGTAGTTGTTCGAGAGAAAAATACCAGTTAGGAAAAAGCTGAACTACATTATCAACTTGGTGTTAAAGCTTTAGTTCGAGAGAAAATAATTTTAACACCACATCATTGTAAGTGAGGGTCAACATTTGTGACACTCTAGGGTCAAGAGAACATGAGTGATAATTATCTGACTAGGCTGAGAAGTGTCAGATGAATTTAGCTCGCAATGATTCTGGAAACATTGAATTGCCTGGCGCTCAATCACGAAAGAATACTAGAAGTATCGTTATGGTGAACACAATCCTGGTTTCTCTTAATTAACTAAATCAACCTTATAACGAAATAGTCTGCTATTCGTTAATCTGGAGTTTGACTGCAAGTTTAGGTACTTACAACAGTTCAACCAAACCCAATTTACTTTCCGTTGTTGTTTATTTAGGAGATAATAACAACATTCGAATAAACGTGATAGTGAAACCTTATCTGTAAAGAAATTCTATGTGGGATCGACCTCAACTCTAGTTGAGTTATGTAAATTGACATCGACCGTTTACACTTCTTACTCGAAGTGTAAGTTTGGACGTATCACAAACCTTATAGGAGAAATGGGTGCTTTTAGGGTGAGAGAGTTTTTGAGAATAAACCCTCCGGAGTTCTATGGCTCCAAAGTGGAAGAAGATCCAAATGGGTTTATAGAGGAGGTCTATAAGGTGTTAGTAATCATAGGGGTGTCTTCTATTGAGAAAGCAGAACTAGCCGCCTATCAGTTGAAGGACGTTGCCCAAATTTGGTATGAGAAATTGAAAGATAGTAGGCAGATAGGAGCGGGTCCTATAGAATGGGAATCTTTTAAGTTGGCATTCTTAGATAGCTTTTTCCCCGGGAATTAAGGGAAGCCAAAGTTGGAGAATTCATCAACCTTAAGCAAGGTGATATGAGTGTTTAAGAATACTCTTTGAAATTCACCCTTTTTTCTAAGTATGCTCCATCTATGGTAGCAAGCCCTAGGGATATGATGAATAGGTTTGTGACGGGAGTGTCCAAGCTAGTGTCAAAAGAATGTCGTACGGCAATGCTCCATGATTATATGAACATATATGCTCAACAAATGGAGAGGGATAAACTTCAAGTGGAAAAATATAGAGAGAATGAGGCCTAGGATGGAAAATGATAAGTCCTTTCATGATGGGTCCGATGGGCATGGTCGTTCTAGGATTCGACAAAAGTTTTTCAGACAAGGCTTTTCTAATGCTCCTAAGTATAAGTATGGAGGGTGTCTACCCCTAGGCCACAAGGGATGAGTAATGAGTCCTTATGGCCCTCTTGTGCTAGGTGTGGTAAGAGGCATGATGGTAGGTGCTTGGCCAGTAGAGAGGGTTGCTCTAGTTGTGGTGAGAGTGGCCACATGATGAAAGATTGCCCTAATGCTAAGGCTACAAGAGGAGAAGGTAAGCAAGTTGCCTCTAGTAGTGGAGATGTAGAGCTTTAAAAGAAGAATAGGTTTTATTCTCTCCAATCTAGAGAAGATCAAGAGTGATCTCCTCATGTCCCTTCCGGTATGTGTTTCATTCTTTTATAAAATTTCCAGATTTCTTGTCTTTTATGACTTGTTATGTTGGATTTTGAAGTTCTTTTTAGTATGCATGATGTATAGAAAAGTTTGTGTAGGCTTACTCCCAAGTGGGGGATAGTGTGCCTATCTAGTAGGGATATTGTGTGCCATATGTGTTGCCATGATTTCCTTATATTCATGTTCATGAAATTGTTTAGGTCTCGTTAGAAATGACTTTATGCATTGTTTCCTCATGTTGTGGTGCATTTGAGTAGAAATTGCATATAGGATTAATGAGTTGAATTATGAGCATGCCCTAGTTTTTGGAGTTGAAAGGTTCCTCCATGAATAAATGCTTTATGAGATGAACTTTGCATTTAGGCTTCATGTGTATGTGTTGAGCATGTTTTAGCTAGGAGATGTTAGTTCCTCCTTGAGAATGAATAGATATAGAGTTTAGTGCATTTTGGGTTGGTAGAAGTAGTTCTTACTCCCTTGTATTGCATTGAATGAGTTTAGCTTGGAATTGGAGTTTCTTCCTTGGTAGTTTGCATTAGATGTACTACATGCATATTGGGCTGCTAAGTTAGATTTTAGACTTTAAGAAGTGTTTTAAGTGTCATTCGAGGACGAATGTTCCCAAGTGGGGGATATTGTAACACCCCAGAATTTAGTGAGTTGAACTGGTGAGTTCTAGAGTCTTTGGCAAGAGTTTTGGTGTGTCGTATGAGGGTTAAAATCAAGATAAATGGTTCCAGTACTTAGAATGACATGTTTAGGGGTTAAACGTCTGGTACGACTCCCCAAGGACCACCCAAGGGGTCCTTGAGGAGGACCCTAACACTGCCCAAAAAGCTGTCAAAACTACTTGGTTCACGACCTCAATTCATGCCCCTTAGATCAACCTACGCCCCGTAGGTCATGGGAGTAGGTCAGGGCCTGAAACACCCTGCAAAATATGAGACTCAGGTCCAAACCACGGACCAAGACCACGGACAGTAGTCCTATCCACGGTCCGTGGATGGTAGGGCGTGAATGCTGCCAGTTTTTCAGCTTTTAGTTTTTAGTGAGGAGTTGAGGGTTAGTTTAGTAATTAGTTTAGGGGTTAGGAGGGGCGATTAGTTATTTAATTAACCTCCTATAAATAGTTAATAGACCCTAAACTAATCACTTTAGCTCGTTCATCTTACAACTCTCAAGTTATTCTCAAGAAATTCTCTCTCTAGAAGAACAAGAAGAAAGGAAGTTGGGGCAGCAGCTTAGGGAAATTTTAGCCATTTATTCAAGATTTGTTTAGGGATTTGATTGAAGGTATGTGAAGCTTATTCATCTATGGGTTCTTCCACCCATAGAGCCCCCTTAGTAATCCCTCAATTGTGGATCAAAAACCCAATTCTAGCTAGGGTTGTTCTTACATTGGGGTAGGGATTGGGTATGATTCCAATCTAGTGGATATCACCCAATTATGATTGATTTAGATTTTTTTAATGATAATATGATGATTTCATGTGATTTCTATGATGAACCCTAATCTAAATTGATGAATGTGATCTTTGTGGGTTTATGCCATTAGAGGCAAAATTGAAGGTTCTGAAGTGATCTTCGTATTTCAATGTCTTGAATACTAATTGATCATAGTTAGGATCATCTAATCATGAACTGAACTAGACTTGATTGAATAGGAAGGATCTTGACTTGTGAAGTTAGAATTGAACCTTTATGATCAAGTATAACTAGAATCACCTTCTAATGAACAATGTGATTGAATAGCTTGTAATTTAGACATGGATCATGATAGAATGAAGTTAAGCTTGAAATTAGGGCTTGTAGCCACCATTGTTAGGTCTTTGGGGGTAAAATTCTATATGAGGTGTGTGTGTTCTCTTTCTCTTACACACTTAGGCATGAATTGCTAGGAGATCCAAGGGTTCTCTCACATAGAAGGATTCTAGCTTTGCTTAATAACCTAAAATGAATCAAAGCATATTAGACTAGAATAGCTTGAAGTTGTGACATATGTTCCCTTTATGTATAGCTTGGCTTAGTAGGATAAGACCAAGGTTGATAGATTGGGATGGAGGAGCTATTCTCTCCTAAGGATAGCTTGACTTAGCATTGTAGGATGCATGTCATGGTAGCATGAGATAGTAGTAGTAATGGTAGCCTAGGATTGAGGATTTATACTCTCCTATGGGTAGCTTGAACTAGCATTGTTAGGATGCATTCATGGTAGCTTGACTTGGTTTGGCCAAGACCATGCTTAGTGTGAAGGGTAGTATGGGATGCCTTTCATGCATTGCACAATTGTGTATTGAGGTTCCTTAGAAGTATGGTTCCCTTATGGTAAAAATACTTATGACTTAACCATGCATGTAGACTATGATTAAGATGAATAAAAAGGGATACTTGGCTTGGGTGGTGTTATGGGATGCTATTCTTGCTTTGCACTTGTATACTTTTGAGGTTATTTGAGAATGGTGCTATTATGGTAATGATGATTAAGTGTCAATTATGCTTATATGATTATATCTTATCTCCTATGCTCATTAACTATGTTATTATCTCTTACGCGTATGTCTTATGTTGACTAACCATTTGAGATGCTCTTATGATGTTATGCTAGCTTTCATACTTGGTACGTTTTGTACTAACACATATTGCCTACATTCTAACCAACTGTAGGGTTGGAGGCTTGAGTTGCTTTGGAGGCTAGGTTTCAAGGATCTAGAAGAGTTGAAGATCTTGGTGAGTCCTCATAGCTTCGAGGACAATATCCACTTTACCTTTATGTCATTTCTTTATGTTTAGACTTTGTATGTGTTGTGTCCCAAGATTTTTATTCAAGTATTATGTTAGATGGTTTGAGACAAAGGTTTAGTAAAGACTTCCGCTTCTTTTGTTATGAAAATGACTTCGATTGTAAAAGTTTTAAATTTTCCTGTATTCCCTATTCATCTTATGTTATGATTATGCTAAGGGCTTGTATGAGACCCCTTCAGGGTCAAGTACGCCATGTTACGTCAAGGGGGTAACCCCGGGTCGTGATAGTAAATGAATTATGGACTTGCCCCACTAACTATTAATTATATTAATATTTAATAAAAAATCATCAACTAGATACTCGTAGTTACTGAATGTTTCAAAGTTTCCATTTAAATTTTACGGGAAGAGTCAAAATAGTCCTAGTTCTCAAAACCACATAGCGGGTCGTTACATCACCTACCACTTAAACAAACGTTCGTCCTCGAACGGAAAAAGAAAAGAACGCACTTGAACGCTAAAAAAGTTGATGATATATACTCCTCATGTCTGACTCAGTCTCCCATGTAGCCTCCTCCACTGGACGATACTTCCATTGAACCTTTACTGAAGCAATGTCTTTCGACCTCAACTTTCGAATTTGCCTATCCAAAATGGTTACCGGCTCCTCCTCAAAAGTCAAATTTTGATCAAGTAACACCGAATCCTGTTGAATCATATGAGTACCACCCTGATGATACTTTTTCAACATCGAAATATGAAGTACGGGATGAACACCTGACAAACCAGGTGGCAAAGACAACTGATACACCACCTCACCAATACGCTCCACAATCTCGAAAGAACCAATATACCTTGGGCTCAACTTGCCCTTCTTTCCAAATCTCATCACACCCTTCATGGTGAAACCTTCAATAGAACCCACTCTCCCACCATGAACTCCAAATCACGAACCTTCCGATCTGCATAACTTTTTTGCCTACTCTGAGCTATGAGAAGTCTATCTTGGATCAACTTAACCTTGTCCAAGGACTCCCTCAGTAGATCTGTACCCCACAGTCTAACCTCAAATGCATCAAACAAACCAATTAGAGATCGCCATCTCCTACCATACAAAGCCTCAAAAGGTGCCATCTCAATGCTCGAATGGTAACCATTATTGTAAGAAAACTTCGTTAATGGAAAGAACTGATCCTAGTGATAACCAAGTCAATCACACACGCCCGCAACATGTCCTCAAGAACCTGAATAGTCCGTTCAGACTGACCGCCAGTCTGAGGGTGAAAGGCTGTACTAAGATCCACCCGAGTGCCCAACTCCTTCAGCATAGAACGCCAGAAATGAGATGTAAATTGTGTGCCACGATCTGAAATAATAGAAATAGGAACCCCATGCAGACGAACTATCTCTCGAATATAGATCTTGGCTAACTTCTCTGAATTATAGGTAATCTGAACTGGTACAAAGTGTGCAGATTTAGTCAATGGATCCACAATGACCCATATAGCATCAAACTTACCCAATGTACGTGGCAACCCTAACACAAAGTCCATAGCAATACGCTCCCACTTCCACTCAGATATGGGAATCCTCTGAGCCACACCTCCAGGCTATTGGTGTTCATACTTCACTTGCTGACAATTCAAACACCGAGATACAAAATCTACTATGTCCTTCTTCATACGACACCACTAATAATGTTGCTTCAAGTCACGATACGTCTTAGTAGCCCCTAGATGAATAGAGTACCTCAAACTATGGGCCTCCTCCATGATCAATTTTGTCAATTCACCGGTCTGAGGAACACAAATACGACCTTTTATCCTCAAAACTCCCTCACTATCAAGAATTGCATCCTTGGCTTGTCCTTTTAACACCTTGTCTCTAATCTTACATAAATCACCATCATCAAACTGTTGAGCCCGAATCTGCTCCAACAAGGATGACCTAGCCTCCATATAAGCCAACACCTTACCAGATTCTGAAATATCCAGCGTCACAAAGCTATTGACCAAGAATTGGACATCCCTAGCTAAAGGATGCTCGCCAGCTTGTAACAAGGCTAGACTGCCCATACTTACTGCCTTTTGACTCAAGGCATCTGCTACCACATTTGCCTTACCCAAATGATAAAGAATAGTCATGTCGTAATCTTTGAGCAACTCCAACCACCTCCGTTGCTCAAATTGAGATCCCTCTGATTTAATATATACTAGAGACTACGATGATCCGTGAACACCTCACAATGCACACCATACAGGTAATGCCTCAAATTTTCAATGCAAACACAACAGCCGCCAACTCCAAATCATGAATATGATAGTTCTTCTCATGAGTCTTGAACTGCCTCGAAGCATAAGCTATCAGCTTCCCCTTTTGCATCAATACACAACCAAGACTGATTCTAGAAGCATCACAATATACAACAAAACCCTTTCCCTCCATGGGTAGGGTCAAAATCGAAGCAGTAGTCAATAAAGTCTTGAGCTTTTGAAAACTCACCTCACACTAATCAGACCACTGGAAAACCACTTCTTTCTAGGTCAATCTACTTAATGGGGATGCAATGGACGAGAACCCCTCTACAAAATCGTCGATAGTAACCTGCAAGGCCTTAGAAACTCCGAATCTCAGTAACTAAAGCATGTCTGACCGAATCTCGAACTACCTTAATCTTCTTAGGATCCACCATAATACCTTCCTTGGACACTACATGTCCTAAGAATGCTACCAAACTAAGCCAAAACTCACACTTTGAAAACTTTGCATAGAGCTTCTTCTCCTTAAGAATCCCAAGAACAATCCTCAAATGATGCTCGTGTTCCTCCTTACTACGGGAGTATATCAATGTATCATCTATGAAAACAATAACAAAAGAATCCAAGTACGGTCTAAACACTCCGTTTATCAAGTCCATAAAAGTTGTTGGGGCATTAGTCAATCCGAAAGACATAACCAAAAACTTGTAATGGCCATAACGTGTCCAAAAAGCTGTCTTAGGGATATCCTCCGCCCTAACCTTCAACTGATGGTAACCAGATCTCAAGTCAATATTGGAGAAAACTGAAGCACCTTGCAACTGATCAAATAAATCATCAATATGAGGTATCAGGGTATTTATTTCTGATGGTTACCTTGTTCAACTGCTGATAGTCAATACACATACGCATCGATCCATCTTTATTCTTCACAAATAACACTGGAGCGCCCCATGGAGATACACTCGATCTTATAAAACCATTGCTTAACAAATCCTGCAACTGCTCCTTCAACTCTTTCAATTCAGTCGGTGCCATACGATAAAGAGGAATGGAAATAGGTTAAGTGCATGACTCTACGTCAATACCAAAATCAATATCACGATCAAGTGGAAGACCTGGTAAATCTATCGAAAATACCTTCGAAAATTCACTCACCATAGGAATAGACTCAAGCATAGGAGTCTCAACACTAGTATCTCGAATGTGCGCCAAGTAAGCCAATCATCCTCTCTCTACCAAGTGACGAGCCTTAAGAAATAATATCACCCCTTTAGGAGGGTGACTAAGGGAACCTCTCCATTCTACTATAGGAATTCTAGGTATAGCTAATGTGACTATCTTGGCATGACAATTTAAAAATGCATGATAAGGAGATAACTAATCCATACCAAGAATCACATCAAAATCTACCATATCTAAGACCTTTAAATCTGCATGCATGTCATATCCCATCAAGGTAACTATACAGAATTGATACACCCGATCTACCACTACAGAATCCCCAATAGGAGTAGAAACATGTACTGGCAAATCATGAGACTCACATAATATCTAGACTCGAAGCAAAATATGTGGACACATAATGATAAATAGAGCCTGGATCAATAATACAGTAGTTGGTCGATGACAAACCGGAATAATACAGGTCATAACAACATCTAAAGTCTCAGCCTCTGGCCTACCCGGAAAAGCATAACAGTGAGAACGATCGCCCTTAGATTGTGAACCTTCACGACCACCACCTCGACCAGAAGTAGAACCACCTCTACCTGAATGAGAACCACCTGTACCACTCTGTACACCTCTCCTAGTTGGAGGTTGTGCAGCCCTGAATGTCGAAGCCTGAGAACCCTGAAGTAAATCCCCAAGTCTGGTCCTAGGGCAATCTCTCACAAAGTGTCCCATATCACCACACTCAAAACAACCCCTACGAGACGTAGGCAGATGAAAGGAACCTGACTGACCAGAATGTCCTCCACGGCCTACAAGTCTAGAAGATGAACCCTGTGAAGTATGCACCGAACTCGAAGAACTATGCCCAGCGTAACCAGCCTCAAACGCTGGTATAGCAGCATGAATAGGTCTTCTAGACTGAGAGTGATAACCTCTCCCTAGGTAACCTTGACTCCTAGGCGTAGCACCACCATAATCACTTGAATGACGGGTCCTCTTACCCTAAAACTGCTTAAATCCTTCACGTCGAATCATCTCCAACTCCTTAGCATCATCTACCACCTTCTGGAATGGAACACCAGAAGTAGCAACCTGAGAAACTCCCAGACGAATCAGAATAATCAGCCCCTTAACTAACCTCTCACTCTCTCAGCCTCTGTGGGAAGTGTCATCAAAGCATGCCTAGTCAAGGCATGGAATTTACCCTCATACTCTGCGAGTGACATACCATCTTGTTGCAAACCCTCAAACTCGTCCCTCTTGCGCTCTCTCTCACTTCATGGAACATACTTGGCTAGAAATAACTGAGTAAACTGAGTCCATGATAGTAGAGGGGATTCAACTGGCCTACTACTAATATAATCCCTCCACCACTGCTTTGCAGAGCCAATCATCTGAAACATTGTATAGTGATGTTTGCGTAATCAAGACACAACTTCCGATGCAAGTGTCTACGATCGTACAATAGTTTAGTAATCCAACCAAGGGTTGGGATCGTCCCAAGATAGTGGTTTTGAGAATTGATTGAGAAATAAAATTTAGCTCTAACTAGTCGTAGCTAAAGACATTAACGAGTTAAAACATAGTAAATAAAGAGGGTGACACAAAAGTGTCAATTAACAAATGGGGTTTTTGTCACAAGTAAGCTAAAATTAGCAAAAATCAACAAGGAAATCTAAGCAATGAGAGGGGGATTCCTTGGATGTGACCGGAATACAGGTTAATCTAAACTATTGGGTACATGTTTTTCATAGAAAATTTATAGAGTAATAGTGACTAGGCTAAGCTTTATGTGGAAATAAGTTCTTTCTTGAGCAACTTACCCCGTTTCAATTGGGTTCCTCTTGGACACCCAATTGCCGCATGAAGACCAGCTATGCCTTACCCCACTCACTCTCTCAAGCCGAGTGTTAGGATATGGGACTAGGGCTCACCCTCTCGGGCTGAACCTCATGTGGACCCACTCCTTAGGCCATCAATCTAGTAGTCTTGGTTCCGCGACCTCTCTCTCGTGTAAGCCGAAAACACATAAGTAAACTTGTATTTGCAACGACAAATTTGTTAAATTCAACCACAACTACTAGACGAAATCACCATTAAACTACATTTAATCTATCAGCAAGCAAGACCCAACAATTATCGCTATATCACACCCCAAGAATTGGGGGTTTTAGCCACACATCAAGAGATATAAATTTATACCTAAATGGGCTTGCATTCAAATGGGAATGAAGATTAAAGTCTTTTTATAGGCCAAGAATGAAGAATCCAAGAGACCCAACTCCAAATCTAGAAGATGAAACCCTTTTCTTCTTCAAGTCTCCAAAACCCTCTCAAACTTAGAGCAAAAAAAATCAAAAAGTACTATTCTATATGAAAATTATAATAAATTGTTCGACTCCTCAAAATAAAATTCTAACTAGTATTTATAGTTATTACAGATTTGTGCTGCAGCGGATCAGTCGGC